AAAAGCAGCTGCTTTTGCGGAAAAACTTGCCAGCTGTCTACACTGGCCGCCTGAATTTGGAAATCCGCTTTTTCGAAAGAGAGCACCCAGCGAGTCTGGATGCTCTCTTTCGAAGACGGCCTCTTTACATTGAAGAACGCCTTCCTTCGAAAGAGGAACTTTCGAAGGAAGGCGTTCTTCCTCGTGAAACGAGGTTTACCGCCATCGAAAGAAAAGCCGCGTTCTTTCGAAATAATTTCGAAAGAACGCGGCTTGAGTCTGGATGCAGGAGAAGTTCTTTCGAAAAAAGGGTACTTTTTTCGAAAGAACCCCTGAGTGTGGACACGGCCTAAGAGACCTGAACTTCTGAAGAGAGTGTCTTGAAAAACAGTTGTGGACAAAAGCCTGTCAATTGAGACCTCTTGGGATTCAAAAACCTAAACAAACACTTGCTTTTTGCCCTATGGGTTGATTTAGGCACATAAGGCCATCACGGGTATAAGTCAGGAGTAGAGAACCTTTTTTCCTTTATCAGAGACCACTGACCCATGGAAAAAAAAATTATGGGTGCCACACAGCCCCAGGCATGAGAGGGGAATAGATTCAGAGTTTCCTCTGCAGTGGGTGAGCCGGCACACACAGCTCCCGCCTCACGAGGGGAGGGGCACAGAAATGAGGGATTAGGGTGTAAGAGATTGGGGTGTGAAAAGGAATGAGGGCTCAGGATGGGTTTGCAGGCTCTAAGTGTGGCCTGAGATGCTGGAAGGGGCTCTGGGTTCGGGATGCGGGAGCTGGCTCACCACTAGGACAGAGGGTTTGACATGACAGGTCTGGGAAGGAATTAGGGTGCAGGAAGGGACTCCGACCTGGTACGGGTCTGAGGTGCAGAATCTGGGAGGGAATTTCAACTCTGAATGGATGACATTTATTGGAGGTGGCTCCCTGCCAGTGGTGCAGCAAAGCCAAGGCAGGCTCCCTACTTGCCTTGGTCTCCTGGCTGCACCCTGAAGCAGCCACCACGTTCAGGTTGTAGGCTGGTTCCTGGGCAATGGGAACTGCACAACTAGTGCTGGGAAGAGCATGCTGTTTACTTGATCTCTTCTGCACCTAGGAGCACACCAGGGCTTCTGGCTCACTGTGCAGAGATTTGCTGCGGGCCCAATGACATTAAGCGGTGGACTGGGAGCAGCCTACGGTTTCCCACCCCTGCTATAAGCTACGTCAGGCTACATGACCAGAGGCCCTGAGAGTCAAGGTGGAGACGAAATTAGTCTTCATGCCAAATATGTCTTACCTTCTTGATTTTTTGTTCCTAGGATAAATTCTACTTTCAGCTTTTAATTTATCACTTTGGTACAACTAAACCTAAAATACAACTCAACTCCTTCCTCATGATATAAAAAGAGAACCTTATTTTCTGTAAAGTGAACCATCACAGGCAGGGTTGCTCTAGATCAGGAGTTGGCAACCTTTTCAAACCAAAGAGCCAAACTACATAAAAATTCAGAACAATTGGTCAACAAAGAGCCGTATAAGAATGCCCATTTGCATGACTGAAAATATACAACTTAATATTATTGATAATTGACACAATTAGTAATAGCACACATGAAACATACTCACAAATTTAATTTTATTTAATAGGATTTCTGCTGCTGTATCTTTTTGCACATTTCTTTGAAGTTTACATCATAACTGGTCAAATCCAGCTTCATGCACGCATTCAGGCTGTCTTCTGTCAATCTTATGGCAGGGGGCTAGTGATGTGGGAGTGCAGGAGTCTGGATTAGGGTATATGAGGGGCTCAGGGCAGGAGACTGGGGTGTATGATGGACTCAAGGTACAAGGTTGGGGAGTGTGGGGGTACAGGCGTGTTATGGCAGGGAACTGGGGATGTGAGGGGTACAGCAATGTGGGGCTATGAAGGGCTCAGAGCAGGGGATTCAGCTGTATGATGGACTCAGGGTTGGTATGAGTGGGGGTGCATGAGTGTTATAATATGGCAGCCAGGCTTCATTTTTAAATAAAGTAAAATATTATATCCAACACAAAAGGTTTCAACATTGCCTTTATGGCAGGAGTGGGGAGCCCTTTTGAGCCAGGGGCCATTGACCCACAGAAAAAAATCAGTTGGGGACCACAAAAGTGAGGAGCAAAAAAACCCCTTCCAAAACCCTCACTGATGTAACCCCCTCTTCCCCCAAACACACACCTGATTCCCCTGGTGCTCCAGTCCCATAGTGTGGGTAGGGGCAGCGACAACTGAGGTTCAAGGCCTCAGGCCAGACTTACTCTTCTGGAGTTTCAGAGTTAGTGGATTTTGTGGGTCCCCCTAATGCTCTGGGTTGGGGCCAAAAATGAGGCATTAAGTGTGTAGGGCAGGACTATCAGTGAATGGGATAGAGATGAGAGTGCAGGATCTGGTGGGAGGTAGGGTGTAGGAGGGCGTCAGGTTTGGCCAGGGGGGCAGGCTGCCAGAGCAGGGGGCAAGAGCAGGCTGCCTGCTTGGCCAGAGCCTGCCTGGCCAGAGGGCAGGAGAGGGGTGTGGCCC